AACCAAGGTATGTGCCCTTGACTGGACTCAGACCTGTGACTCACTGGTCTGTGGGCCGAAGCTCTAACTGCTGAGCCAAACCGGCCAAGGCAATTTTACTATTTCATGATGTCAGGATTAACACCATGAACATCAGTTATTCAAGTGAAATGATTTCAGGGCCTATGGGGTGGTCAGTGCTTTTTATACTTTATAAATAACTCCAGCATGCTTTGCGTTTTGAGTTCTTACAGCTTCTTTTCAGTTTTCCTGTTTCTTCTCTTGGTGTTAGGGTGTCTATTAGCACTTCTGTCATCTGTGCACCTACCCAGAAGAGCGCTCTCTGATATTCTGCTTCTAATCTGCTTTAATTGTGGAAATGAGATTATTCACTTTATTAGAACTGTGCACATATTTAGTGTGACTAGGGCCTACAAAAAAAGAGGGGACTTTTATTTATTAAAATTTTTTTTTCTCTTTATTGATTTTAGAGAGAGAGGAAGGAAGAGAGAGAGAAACGTCAATAAGAGAGAACATCTATTGGCCACCTCCTGCATGCCCCCCATTGGGGATTGTACTCACAACTTGAGCATGTGCCCTTACCAGGAATCAAACTGGCAACCTCCTGGTGCACGGGTCGACGCTCAACTACTGAGCCACACCGGCCAGGCTTTTAAGAGTAAAAGACACATTTTTAGTTCTTGAATTTTGTGATATATATTTTCAAAATGTTTTTTATTGATTTTTTTTTTAGAGACATCAAAGTGAGAAATATCAATGGACTGCCTCCTGCACGCCCCCTATTGGGGATCAAGCCTGGAATGCAGGCATGTGCCCTGAGGGGAGTGGGAATCTCTCACAGTCCATGGGACCACGCTCAATCCAGTGATGGGCACCAGCCTGGCGGATTTTGCGATATCATACTTTGGTTTCTCAGTGGTCTCAACTTCTCTGTTCCCTGTTCATCCCCTTCCCTCCTCCAATGCCTTTTTGTCTGTTTTTGAAAGTTGAAGTAAATTCTATATAGGAAGTATCTCAAGGCCACTATTCAAAACAAAAGTGTCTAGTAAGGAGATGAAGCTATGTAGTGGGAAAAATAAACTGTAAGAAGTCTGAAGGGAGAAGCAACTATAAAAAAAGCTATAAGTATAAAAAAGCCACTGTGATTGTAAGCATCATTATAGGCTGCTACTAAGTACTGTATATAATAAGGTGTTAAAGGCGTCTTTTTTTTTTTGCCTGACAATTCCACATATACATATTAAAATGTGTGACTTCAGCCCTGGCTGGTTTGGCTCAGCGATTAGAGTGTCGGCTCACAGTCCGGAGACCCGGGTTTGGTTCCTGCTGAGGGCACGTACCTCTGTTGCAATTTGTCCCCAGCTCCGGTTGGGGTTGTGTGGGAGGCAGCCACTCAATGTGTCCCTTTGGTGTCGATGTTTCTCTCTCTCTCTCCCTCCCACTCTATCTGAACAAAAATGAAAAAATGTCCTTAGGTGAGGATAAAAAAAAAAAAAAATGTGTGACTTCATAAATATATATCTATAAGAATGTTTTACAGTAGCCTTGTTTGCAAAAGTAAAAAAATTCTAGACAACCTAAATGCTTATTCGTAGGTAAATGAGTAAGCAAATTTTGTCATCTATTTATTATGTAGCCATTTTAAAAATAATTAAAGAAATGTTTTATTAATTTTTTAGAGTGAGAAATAGAAAAATCAATGTGAGAAAGAAACATCGATGGGCTCCTCCTGCATGCCCCCTATTGGGGATCAAGCCAGCAACCAGGGCATGCATCCTGACTGGGAATGGAACTGGGTCCTCTCAGTCCATGAGTCACCGCTCAATCCACTGAGCCACACCAGCCAGGACATTATACAACCATTGAAAAGAAAGAGGTAGGCCCAGTAGGTGTGACGCAGTGGTTGAGCATCAACCCATGCACCAAGAGGTCATGGGTTCGATTCCCAGTCAGGGAACATGCCCAGGTTGTGGGCTCGATACCCAGTGGGGGGCATACAGGAGGTGGCTAATCATTGTTCTCTCTCATTGATGTTTCTATCTGTCTCTCCCTCTCCCTTCCTCTCTCTCTAAAATCAATAAAGGAAAAAAAATTAAAAGAATGTGCCCTGGCTAGTTTTGCTCAGTGGTTAGAGCATCGGCCTGCAGTCCAGAGAGACCCGGGTTCGGTTCCCCCTAAGGGCGCGTACTTCGGTTGCAGTTTATCCCCGGCCCTGGTTGGTCGTGCGGGTGGCAGCCACTCGATGTGTCCCTTTTACGTCGATGTTTCTCTCTCTCTCTCTGTTCCTCTCTCTCCCTCCCACTCTACTGAACAAAAAATGGAAAAGTGTCCTTGGGTAAGGATAAAAAAAAAAAATTAAAAGAATGAGGTAGTTTTGTACATACAGATCATAGTGTTTAAGAGTCTGGATCCAGCCCTGGCCAGTTTGGCTTAGTGGTTAGAGCCTTGGCCCGCAGACCAGAGAGTCCTGGGTTTGGTTCCCGCTAAGGGTACGTACCTCTCGCCCTCTGTTGGGGTCGTGTGGGTGGCCACCAGTTGATGTGTCTCTCTTACATCAATGTTTCTCTCTCTCTCTTCCTTGCTCTCTCCCTCCCACTCTATCTGAAGATAAATGCAAAAATGTCCTCAGGTGAAGGTAAAAAAATAAAAAGAGTCTGGATCCACATTATAGGGGTTCAAATAACCTCTCCATCACTTTGCAGTTGTGGCAATTTATATATGTTCATATATATAAAACTGGCCAGGGCTGGATCCAGACTCTTAAACACTATGATCTGTATGTACAGAACTACCTCATTCTTTTATTTATTTATTTAAAAAAGCCATCTGTCTTTAATATCCCTACTTAATAACATTGCTATGAAGATTAAATGAAGTCATCCACCTAAAACACTTTAAACAGTGCCTGGCACATTAGTATTAGCTATTGTTCTAATGTTATCATTACTGACAGGGAAGGACACCTGTGATACATTGTTTGGTGAACATTATACATAAAGTTACATAGTATGTGTAGTATGAACCCAATTTTGTCAAAACAAACAAAAATTGTGTACACACATATCTGTGATTTTCATAAATGGACTCTGGAATTTCTATATAGGAGGAACTTATGAGTTGCTAGCTGGTTTTGTCTGAAGTTATAATTGTCTAACTTTCTTTAAAAAAAAAAAAAAACTTACGCTATTCTTTTGGAATGACTTTATTGTTGTTTTTTACCCTCACCGGAGGACATTTTTCCATATTTTGCTCAGACAGAGTGGGAGAGAGAGAGAGATGGAAACATCGACATGAAAGTGACACATCGAGTGGTTGCCACCGGCATGACCGGGGACAAACTGCAACCCAGGTACGTGCCCTTACTGGGAACCAAACCCAGGTCTCTTCGGACCACAGGCTGACGCTCTAACCGCTGAGCCAAACTAGCCAGGGCTGAAATGGCTTTAAATGATCTATTTGAGGTTATGGGAAATCAGTTTCCCCAAACAAGTCCTTGGTGCAGCCACTTTATATATTCATAGAAATGGTCAGAAAAGGTTACACCACTGTTAATAGCAATTATTTCTAGGGATAATGCAGGGAGGTAGGGGACAACCTTTACTTTATATGCTTCAGTATTGTATTCTTTGCAAATAGTTCATTGTGCATTGACTTTGTGTCAACATCAAACAAAAGAGCCAAAATGTCCTCAAAAAAGGGATTGTTAACTTACTGTACTATGAAATCATGAACAAAAAGAGTGTGGTGTACAGCCCTGGCCGGTTTGGCTCAGCGGTTAGAGCGTCGGCCTGCGGTCCAGAGAGACTCTGGGTTCGGTTCCCGCTAAGGGCACGTACTTCAGTTGCAGTTTGTCCCCGGCCCTGGTTGGTCGTGCGGTGGCAACCACTCGATGTGTCCCTTTCACGTCGATGTTTCTCTCTCTCTATCTCTTCCTCTCTCTCTCCCTCCCACTCTATCTGTACAAAAAATGGAAAAATGTCCTCAGGTGAGGATAAAAAAAAAAAAAAAGAGTGTGGTGTACAGCTTTTTGAATTAACATGGAAGAATGTTTACGGAGGAAAAATATTGATGCAGAACTTTGTAGTGATTGTAAAGCCCCTCCCCATCTAAGTCGTATTTGGGGCTGCACATGTATGTGTGGAGACAAGGCGTTGGAGGATGTGCGCTCAACTGTACCTGTTAACCATAGTTTTCTCTGGGGAGTGGGATGAGGGAAGGGCTTCTACTTTTACTTCTATGATATTGTGAATCACTTGAATTTTTTTTACAGAGATCATGTATAATTTCTATAATAAAAGCAATAAAGGAAATAATATCTTTAATGTCGTGTAGTACTTATGTTTTTTTTGGCTGATGTTACATCTGGAACGACATATTCAACTTTCTGGACATTAATTAGGGCTATACTGTATAGAAGTCCACTTTTAGGAGTAAATGCAATTTTACCTCATTTAGAATCTTGATTTCTTCCTCTTATTAAAAAAATGTATCTAATCTTGTACCTAATTTGTTATGACAGTACCATCACTTAAAGCACAGCAATTATGCAACCCCTTAATTTGAATTCCATTTTGCAAGCATTTTTTTGTTTTGTTTTTCCGGTACATGACCTCACGGACAAACTGAAGGTATAAAGTGAAAATCTGTATATTCAACGTAAATCACTCGGGTTACCCAAAGGAACGTAGTTATTAGAATAAACACATTAAAAAATAGCTCAATATACTTCAATTTGAACTCAAAGACTCTTGGTTCATTTAACTCTTGGTAGGGTTTAGTGACTGTCCTTCACTGGCGGTCCTGGTTCCCAAGAGCATCAGAAACCTACACTGGATCGCTGTCTTTAAGGGAGAAGAGGAGCCCAGGGAGCCTGGTCCCGGGCGGCTCGCGGCGCCCGGGCGAGCCCGGGACTGAGTCAGCGCCGGGGCCGAGTAGAAGTTCGGCGGGAGGCGCAGGGCGGGGCTTCCTCCCGCCGACTCCGAACCCGGCTCTACTTTCCCGAGTCCACGTCTCTTCCTTTGGACAGGCGTGTTTCTTCAGGTCGGGACCAGTCGACGTGACAGCCACACAGCTTTCAGAAGGGAGCTTCGGCCTCGCCGCGAGGATCTCCCCGGGCCGGGGCAGTCCGGCCCAGCTCGGAGAAGCCCCTCGCGGGCGGAAGCGCGCGGCTCCTCGGCGCCGAGGCCCCCGAACGCCTCGCTTCTGGGCGCCCACCGCGCGGCGCCGAGCGCAGCATCCCCGACATGGAGACCGGCTCGGACTCAGGTCAGAGGCCCGCGCGTCCGCTCCGCGCCGGGGCCCTGCAGGCTGCGCCGGCGCGGCGGGGCGGCTAGGCCAGGCCGCCCGTGCAGGCCGCCGCGTGCCGGGTCCGCGCGGGGAGCGCTCACGGGCCGGCTCCGGCGCGCGGGGCGGGCGGCGGCAGGTGGGCAGGACGAGCCGCGAGCGAGCGAGCGAGGGCGGGCGGGCGCGCGACGGGCCCGGCGGGGGGGCCGCTGGGAGGATGGCTCAGCTCTTTCTAAATATAAAACCGGCGTGAGTCGGGCGAGCGCGGGGCGAGCCGCAGAGCCGCCGCGCGGGCCGGGCGCACCCGGACTCGGCGGGCTGACGGCGGCGGCTCCGCAGCGGCGCGAGGGTGCGAGAGCGCCTGGGACGCGACCTCGCGGGGGACGGCGAGAGCGACGCGTGCCGCGGAGAGGACGCAGGCAGCGGCGGCGGGCGGGCCTCGTGGGCGCCGCGCGGCCCACGCCGAACGCCCCGAGCCGGCTCCGGGCTCCTGCCGCTCCGCGAGCAGCGAGCCCCCCGCGCCGCCCGTCCGCGCCCTCCCCCTCCAGCCCCTCCCTCCCGCCGCGGCGCAACATGGCTGCGGCCGCCGCCTCCGCCTCCCAGGACGAGCTGAGTAAGTGCCATGGCGAGCCTGCGGCCGCGAGCGGGGCCGGCGCTGCGCGGGGCCGGAGGGCGCGGGCCGGGAGGGCTGGGGCGCGCTGCCGCCCGCGGGGCGCCGGGTCGGGTGGGCGGGCGGCGGCGGCCCTGGCGTGCGGTGGGCTGGGGCGCTCGGGCCTGGCGGGCGGGGTGCCGGACGCCGCCGCCGGCGTTTGTAGGCCTCAGGTTTGCACCGTCACGTTGCGAAATTGAAACCGGAGCCTCAGGCGGAACCACCTCTGTCCGCGAGCGCCCCGGCTCAGGGGTGGGGGCAGCCCAGCCCCCTGCCCCGGTGCCTGGGCTGGCGGAGCGGCCCGAGCCCCAGGGTGGCGGGTCGTGTCAGCCCGTCCCGTCTGACCCCGCGGTGCCCCCCCCCCATTCCTACTGTTGGGCGAGTTTTGGAAATAGAGCTTTCAGGGAGGGGGAGAAAGGTGCCTTTCTGTGACACCCCAGAAATCGGCGGAGAGGCCGAGAACAGGCGGTGACCCTCAGGTGGAGCAGGAAGGCAGAGCAGAGCGCGTCGCGGCGCTAGCCGCAGGAGAAACCACGGGGTGACAGCGCTTTCAGAAAGGAGAGCCAGTGCACACTCGACCTTAAACGTTGCAGTTCTCCAGGGGACGGCGATCCACGTTTGGGGACAGCGGTGGTCACCCTGAATTTCAGGCCGCCACGCCCGCCGCCCGGGTTCGCCTCGATGCTTTATGGGAAGTGTAGTCCCAGGGCGTCGCAGGCCCACGCTGGGGTAAAAAAAAAAAAAAAAAAAGAAAAAGAATTTTCCTAGGACGTGTAAGATAATTTCTGATTGCGTTTGGGATGGTTAGATATATGCTTTGGGTTTAGTTTTTCTGTTTGTTTCCTTATTGCCGCCCTTTAGTGTACAACAAACAAGAGAGGTGTAATTTAGGGATGCATGTGAGTTTTACATGGAATGAAGCATGGGTGAGGTGTCCCAAGCTTTGTGAAGTTTCTGTTGTCATAGCCCCCCCTGGATTTTCCATATGAAAGTAGTTATAACTATAACTTCTGGTCCTTTGGTGCTTGGCAGTTTAAAGGTACTTTTATGTGCATGATCTCACTTTTGCCCTCATAACAACCTTATGAAGCATGTGGGTAGGAATTATCCTTGTTTTAAAGAAGAGGTTTAGAGAGATTAAGTTCCTTGCTGTTTTAACATGAAACTGGTGTAGCAGGAGTAATGTTTGCTCATTTTGAAGCTGAAATAAGCAGTTGGTGTGACCCTGGGCAGGATGGAGGGTCTGAGAAGACAAGATCTCATGATTAGACATAGATCATGGGCTGATAGCCTCTGAGTCAATTGCTTGTCTGTTAGTTCTAAGCTGGAGTACTACCAGGCCTTCTCTGGAGTTTAGTTCCCTGAGTTTTTCTTCCTTTTTTTTTTTGTTGTTGTTGTGGTCAAATACACGTAACATAAAATTGACCATCATAACCTTTTTTTTTTAGTATACAGTTCAGTAATATTAAATACATTCATGTTGCTTGTGCAGTCATCACCACCATCCAGAACTCTTTTTATCTTGCAAAACTGAAACTCCATATACATTAAAGCCCGAGTCCCTTATTTCCACCTCTTCTCATCCTGTGGCAACCAACATTCTACTTTTTGTCTCTCTGCCTTTGACTACCCTATGTATCTCAGGTAAGTGGAGTCATATAGGATTTGTCTTTTTGTGACTGGCTAATTTTACTTAGCATAAAATCCTCAAGGTTCACCCATGTTGTAGCATGTGACAGGATTTTCTTCCATTTTAAGGCTGAATGATATTCCATTGTGTGTGTGTATGTGTGTGTGTGTGTGTGTATCTATCTATCTATCTATCTATCAATCACATTTTCTCATTCATTTCATCCGTCAATGGAAAAACTTGGATTGCTTGTGTGTTTTAGCTATTGTGAATAATGTTCCTGTGAATATAGGTATACAGATATCTCTTTGAGATCCTGCTTTCAATTCTTTTGGGTATTTATCCAAAAGTGGGATTGTTGGGTCATATGGTAATTCTATTTTTAATTTTTTGAGGCTCCATCATACTGTTTACCATAGTGGCTGTACCATTTTATGTTCCCACCATCAGTACACAAGGGTTCCAGTTTTTCCATGACCTTACAACATGTTATTTTTTGTATTATTATTATTTTTTAATCTTCATTCGAGGATATTTTTCCATTTACCTTCAGATAGAGTGTGAGGGAGGGGTAGAGAGAGAGAGAGAGAGAAAGAGAGAGAAACACCTATATGAGAGAGGCACATCAATTGGTTGCCTTCCCCATGACCCTGGCCAGTGTGGGGGACTGAACCACAACTGAGGTGCGTGCTTTTCACCGAAATCAAACCTCTGACTCTCTGGTCCGAGGGCTGATGCTCTAACTGCTAAGCCAAACCGGCAAGGGCTCTGTGTTTTAAAAAATCCTCACCCGAGAATATATCTTTTCATTAATTTTTTTAGAGCAAGAGAGAAACACCAATGTGTGAGAGAAATGATCAGTTGCCTCCGGTACGTGCCCTGATTGGGAATGGAACCCACCACCTAGGTATGTGCCCTGATTAGGAATTGAACCTGAGACATTCCAGCGCACAGGACAATGCTCCAACCAACTGAGCCACATTGTCCAGGGCAGGTCTTCTGTCTGTGTGTATTTTTTTTTTTAATATGTTTTTATTGATTTTTTTAGAGAGAGAAGAAGGGAGAGAGAGAGAGAAACATCCATGTGAAAGAGATATATTGACTGGCTGCCTCCTGCATACTCCCCACCAGGGATGGATACTACAGCCTGGGCATGTGTCTTGACTGGGCATCGAACCAGGACCTCTCAGTCTATGGGACTGATGTTCAATCCCCTGAGCCACAGTAGCCGGGCAGGTCTCTGTATTTTTTATAGTAGCCACCCCAGTGGGTATGAGGTGGTCTGACATTAAAATTTGTTATATTGCATGATATCTGAGTTCCTGTTGTACCACTAAACACATTAAAGACTAAACTACCAGTTGGAATGGGGAACAAAACTAGAGGAAGAAATGGATATCACTTATTTGTACTGTATTTGTACTTTAGATACCTGTTAAAGTGCTGATAGTACTTCTGGTTAAGGAATTTTTTGGCTTTAGCAGCTATTGGAAAAGCTAGGAACAAATAGTTTCAAACCTTGCTTTTCCAGTGTTTTGTTAGGCCAATTATCAATCATTGAACACAGGTATCTGTTGACTTGATTTCTGTATTCAGGAAAGATTAAACATTTGGCATTTGGCACCTTAGAATAATTTAACTTGAAGTTACATACATATGTATTGTCTAAGAAGTTTCAAATAAACCACTTTTAGTTTAAGAAGGGCTATAATAAAAGGGTAGATGGCTGGCACAAAGGTGCTTTTTAAAAATTCTGCCATAAAAAAGGAGCTAAGTATTTGAATATTTACTGGCTATTATTTCTTCTGACTAGTAGATGATAATATTTACTTACTTATTTTTAATTCTCACCAGAGGATTTTTTCCATTGATTTTTTTTTTTTTTTTTTAAGATACAGTGGGAGGGAGGGAAGGAGAGAGAAGGAGAGAGAGAGAGTGACAGACAGACATCTATTGGTTGCCCCCACTTCACAAGACCCTAACCAGGGCTGGGGATCGAACCACACCAGAGGTATGTGCCCTTGACTGGAATCGAACCTGCGACTCTTTGGTCCGAGGGCTGATGGTCTAACTGCTGAGCCAAACTGGCCAGGTCCATCTTAACCATTTTTTTTTTTAATCCTTATCCGAGGACATTTTTGCGTTTATCTTCAGATAGAGCAGGAGGAAGAGAGGGGAGAAGAGAGAGAGAGAGAGAGAGAAACGTTGATGTGAGAGAGACACATCGACAGGTCACCACGCACATGACCCGAACCGGGGACAAACTGCAACCAAGGTACATGCCCTTAGTGGGAACTGAACCTGGGACTCTGGTCTGCGGGCCGATGTTCTAACCACTGAGCAAAACTGGCCAGGGCCATCTTAACCATTTTTAATTGTACAGTTCAGTGGCATTATGTGTTGAATCTACTTTTTTTTGGTGCATTTCGATGTAAATTGGAGGCATCAGTATACTTCTCCCTAAATATTTCAGCACTAACATTGTTTTAAGTGCTTTGTATATATTCTTTCATTTGTCAAAATAATCCTAAGAGGTAGGTAAAATTATCGCTGTTTTATGGAATGGAGAACAGGGTTTTCGGGTTCCCAAGCTCCCACAGCTAGTAAGTGACAGAGTTGGATTCCAGGTGTCCCAGACTCTAATGTGTACTCATAACCAGCATTTAGGCCGAATTACCTCTGTGCCACAGTTAGAGTGTTCAT